AAAATTTGGTTAAATTCTGAATGTTCTCTTTTTTCACCCTATATAGGTTGCATTTCTGTAAATATTGGCAATGCAATTTCCCATAGGAACTCCTTTTACGGCTAAAACTGTACCACTTTTACTATGAAGTTTTGAACAAAATCTTATCCTAGAATTGAAAGTTCATATGCACTACAATTTTTTTCAAAGGTCAAAATATAGGGCTGTGCGGCATATTTTCAACGTTTATATGCCCTGAACTTTTCAGAGTTTAAACTAACACTAATTTTCTTAACTACCCCTACCTCGAATGAAGGGTTACCACATATTTCAATGTAAACAATATGCACATGTATATTTACTGGTAACATTCCCAAGTTATGTCTCTATGAGATGGAACACAGAGAGCATAACTGGGAACCAGTATGTAAACAAAATTAATTTTCTATGAATATTCTAAATCTCCCCAAAAGAGGCGTGGTTTGAGAAACAGCTGTATTTACAAAGTGCAACCTATAAAGGGAATCATGAATGGAAATGCAAGCCCTAGAATATCGTATCAACTGGGAGATATATACTACTTATGCAGGTGCTGCTTGAATACTGCTACATGGAAATAGAAAGTTAATAATCGGAGCACAGTTGGTTCCCATGTGAATGCCGATTGTTAGTTGAAAAACAAGTCCTCCAAACGTAACAAATATTTTACAATAAAAAATCAAACATCTTGATAATGTCAGTTTCAGAGAATTTTTTGTTCGAATCAGAGTATATTTTAACAAAGTATGATTTATCCAATCCCAAGACAATATACTTGTATTCACGTTGCTCATTTTTTTTATGAAATGAATTAGTACCAACTCTTTCAATTTGTTTTTTAGTTTGGAATTGGGAATACTTTATAAAGTGTTAGAAATTCAAATGTTTAAATACTATTGCAAGATGAAAGATAATTAGACTGTATGTACTCAAACTATCTTTGGATTTTATTTAGTATCTGCATCTGAATCACGCCACCTCTAGAATAGGTAGTTTCACAATAATTTGAAGCCCGGCTTTGATTGCTTATACAAATAATGCTAATGATTCAGAAAGAAATTTCGTTGAAAACTTGCCAGCAATATAACGTTGTTTGTAAGGACACGTATGAAGGTTAGGTTTTCAATACAGTCCAAGGAAGGTCCAGTTCTTCATCTTGAATTAAAATTTGGTATGGGTTAAGGGGATTAAAGGTACAGATTGATCTTTACAATAGGGAAGTTTTTCAAGTGAACTGATTTATGATGACGGATATTGCTCAAGTTGATGGCATCGAGACCATTGTTGGCAAAGAAATTTTATGCAAAGGATCTTCTCTCCTTTTCACCTTTTACAATGCAAATTGGTTTGAAGAATCTGTGACTAGCAATGTCAGAGATAATAGCTGTAAATCTGAATTGGTTTGAATGGAGGTTCGGGAAATAATACATATACCATCAATGTTTGGCATTGTAACCGTATGGTGTCGCAGTTCCCAATGGTTTGAATCCAGTAGTTTTCCTTTTGTCGACGGAGAGGTGTTGCAAGATGAGAATTGTTAGTCCTGTGGTATATTTGTTTCGATGATGTGAACTGCATAGAAAGGATTGAATGACCAGGCTGATTAAAATGCTGGTAAACAATGTCGTTTTCATTGTTGTTGATGTCTGATATATGGCCGCACATACGTTTATCAAACCTTCCTTTCGTTTCGCCGACTAATACCAGTCAACACAGGTTACACTCTAATCCGTAGACGAGATTTATTTTTGTATATACAATACAAAAGAGACAGTGGATATTTACATTTACAACTTTTAAAGTTTATTTATAATGTACCTATTCCAATAGTCAGATTTTGAAGAAGATCTTTATAATCTACAAGTAAATCACGTTAATGATTGTCGACTCGGATTTCAACTGCTAAACTCCTTCAAAATTTTCATCCTTGTATCTATGGTCAGTTTATTTATTGACAAACATTTTTACCACATAACCTATATTGTATAACTAAAAACAAGCGACATCAGTAGAAAATTTTAAAACAAAATAAAATTTCTATTGGCAGTTATTCCATTAAAATGAAAATTAACACAAACATCAAAGAGAGGGACGAAAAATACCAGAGGTACAGTCAAACTCATAGATCGAAAACAAACTGACAACGCCATGGCCAAAACTAATAAGACAAACAGACAAATGATAGTACAGATCACACAACATAGAAAACTAAAGGACTGCTGAATAATTTATTTATATTATGGAATACGTTAAATTGTTGAAAATTTTTTTCGGTATATTTTTTCGGTTAAATTTATAATCCCAGTAGGTTTATATCAACAGTATGACCCTGTGACAGAAATAAATATAGGTCATATGGTTGTTGTTGTCGTTAAGAGTGGTTCCTCTCTAACACGTAAATCGGGACAATTCCAACCATCAATAATTGCGGACGTGTCGAAGCTCGGAATAGGAAACATAAACCTCGCTGAAAACTGTCATTGAAATTTTCAAGTGTCTTTCTTTTGACTTTTAAGTAACCTTAATCAGGTACAAGCTATAAAAAAGAGAAATAGCTGAGATCATCTCTTCTTTGCTCTTTTCGGTTAAATCAGCTCTTAAAAATTTGTAAATAAGTTTTTGACGTAGACCATCACCCGATGAGGCATTAATCGTAAATTACATAACTGGTGATATTAAATAAAACCCATCATTATTGAAACCGATGATGATATTTGGGGTAAGTATTAGGTTTTCGATTTTCAAAGTATTTTTGTTTCGAGCGTCATCAAAGATATGAATACCGAAATACCTATCGAATGGACATTCAAACTAACAAGTCGAAAATAAACTGGCAACTCCATGGCAAAAAGAGAAAAAAGACCAAGAGACATACACCAGTATTCAAAACACAATAAACAAAACAAGACTGAGCAACACGAACCCCAACAAACCCGGAGGGATTGGGTGATCTCTGGCATTTCGGAAGGTAAGCAGATCTTGGTCCACACGTTAACCCGGTGAAGTGGACATCATCCATTCGAAAATTTTACGGACGGCATCACGAGGTAGTTGACCGTTATAAAATATCTGTTTTACAGATTACAACGAATACCTGGTATGTTCCAATCGTCGTAACCATAATCCCGTCCTCTTTTTGCCCGAATGTGACCTACTAAAGTAGACTTATCACTGGTTTTGTACTTACATGAGCAACACATTGGCTTGGAACTCTTAGTTTAATAGCTTACTTGTAAGCAGAAACACCATCTCAAGAAATCAGGATAGGATACGCAAGCCCTGCAATATCGAACAGATGATACTTGAACTTGGTACGAAGTGTGTTTTTGATTATAAGATATTTAACGGCAATTAACATGATAAGGGCTTTGTTTGTTATAGACAAGTCGTGTCGTTCTACGTGGAAACAGTATTAGAATGTGTTAAACATGACACTTGTGGCAGTGGTGCAACAACACCACATCCATAAGCATAAACTATGCAAATAAGTTGAAAATCCTCAGATCGATACAAATATTAAAACAACTAACACAATTTCATATGAAAAATATGTTCTATGCGCACATTATTACCTATCAAAATCTAAAATATCTAGATTTAAGGTAACTCTTTGTATTATTTCATTTTGTATAATTTGATTACCAAGCGAATTCTAACGGTATGTGTTATATTTTGTCATAGTTTGTTTAAGAAATTGTTCCTTCATATCATGCTCTATGCTCATTTTAACATGAGTAGGCATTATATTTGTCGATATTGTACACTGAGCGTTAGCGAGGTGTAAAATGTGGTCAAATATAATGCCAAATTATTTCGATTTTCATAGGACAAATATGGTATTTTTATAGGTCGAAGCGTACGAAAATACCTAAGAATGTTTGGCTTTTCCCGTTTCCTCCCCGTGAATTATGTACATTACATTTTCATATTTAATAAGTTTCTGGCTTTAAGATGAATTATACCAATTAAATCGTAATTCCGTTGCAATGACTTTTGTTGTATAGTTTTATAGTGAGATAAATTATAGTCTTGTATCAAAAATAATTGTTTTGTACAATCACTTGTTCGATGCCACTACCGGTGGGGTCTCCGTCCCGAGGGTATCACTAGTCTAGTAGTCAGCACTTCTGTGTTGACACGAAATATCATTGATAAGGTCACATTAATAAATTAAAAGTCGACAAATCTTGCATTTTTCGCAAACCTATGGATTGTCTACCCTAGAAATGGATTACCTTAGTTGTACGTGTGTATTTGGCAAAACTTTTCGGAAATTGGGTCCAAAATGCCTTCTTATTGCTTTTTTATTTGTTTGATTCGAGCGTCACTGATGAGTCTTTTGTAGACGATAAGCGCGTGTTGTGTTCAAAACTTTTACCGTGTATTATTGATGATTTTTATTATGAAATGCACTCTTACAATTCTTTCAATATATATGTATGACCTATAATAGGTACTATAAAGAAAAAAAATGTAGGAGAGGAATGTAACTGAGACCTAGAAAATCTAAAGGACATATACAGAACAACAAAACCGTATGAGATAATCTTTACTGAATGAAATTTCAAACTAATTTTCAATTGAATACCAAACAGTAGTTACTGGGTGGGTGACATTTCTAGTTAAGGAACGCGGTAGTAAAATCGTTGTAATCTTATTTTTGGTTTATTTCATTTTTTGAAGGAATATAAAAGTAAGCTATGTAGAAAACAAACATTTTACCGGAATGTCTCATCAGTGATGGTCGAGGACAAAATATTCAATAATCCAAAACTCATACAAACGTTGAGGAGATGATCACACCAAAGTGAACTAAAGTGTAGCCAAATCCGGAAAAGGAATCAGAGATTTGTATGAGGGAGATGTATTCATTAAAGCCTCTATGGGAATCTCCGTCAATCAAGACTGGTAACAATGTGGCGTAGAACACCAACAAACATATATGAACAATCAAATTCTGTAACAGTTTTTAGGTGGATTGTTTTATATATTTATTTGATCACAATTTAGTTTCCGTCTTATCATTTTGTTTTTCTATCACAATTTCCTCTTCATCTTTTGCCCATTCTTGGATTTCTCCTCTAGAGAAACAGCCATACACCAAAATTCCAAGAACATTGAAGGCAGCACACACATAAAATACATTTCTCCATTCTTCTTGTGTATCCTGAAAAATGTTTAAGTATTATGAAAAAGATAAAGGTTCTGTTAAATAGGTATCAGGTAAAATAAAATTATCTAAGAGACAAAGCCGTTTTCGAAATTGAAGTGAAAGCTTCATCGATGAATGAATACTCCACAGAAAAACAATCTTAGAGACACGTTTCTAAATAAACAAATAAAAGCTATTTCTATAAAATAAAAAATAATTTGGTTTCCTAATTTTATTTCCGGATATAGAAGATGTCATAATATTTTTAAAAATACTGTATTATCCGCTTCACAGCACCTTTAAGGAATGAATTAACTAGAATTGATAGCAACAAATGTAAGCGCGACTAAGGCTTTGGGAAATATTAATGCTAATTATGATCTACAACTGTTCAGCGTTTCACTGATTTACTCAAAACAAATACATTTTGTGTCTTTGCTGGCTCGTTCCACATATTATTGTTTATATGTGTCGGGGGAAATAGTTACATACGTTATGAACCGGAACCATTTTATAAACATGTTTTTATATTACGTTAAATGGCACGTATATACATTTCTATTTTTGAAAGCATTACAACTGCCCTAAAATAGACATCTTTTCACCATAATAACTATTATTGGATCGTTTTCTGAATATTAAAAAATATTCCTGTCTCACTACTTTTAGATATATCAATTTGTTACACTGATTGAACACTCCAGTTTTTAGCATTTACATAAAAAGAAATGTACTTCATTTAGGTAACATACATTCGGTGTCAGCTGGCCAGCTACTATTGGTGCCAACATCCCAGGAATAGTAGCAAATGTATTGGTTATACCATATAAAACTCCTGCATATCTGACAATGAAAAGAGCGCAAAATAATGATAAGGATATGTTTTATTGTTAGAACATAAGGTTCAAATTTGAAACAAACAGCAATTAGCAGTACGCTCATTGAATCGTTTCATTTTATTTTCGTAAAATATGTTTTAATATAAAAATAAGGAGATGTGGTATGATTGTCAATGAGACAACTATCCATCAAAGTATAAATGAAGTGGATGTAAGCAATTATAGGCAACTGTACGGCCTTCAACAATGAGAAAACCCCATACCGTATGGTCGGCCCTGACATGAAAAATATGAAACAATTCAATTGAGAAATTTATCGGCCTAATTCATAACAAAACAATTTAAGAAAAATAAATTTGACAGACATAACCAACGACAACCACTAAACTACAGGCATCTGACTTGGGACAGGCACATAAAGAATGTGGCTGGGTTAAACATGTTTGTGTGAGCTCAAACCTCCCTAACCTTGGACAGTAGTGTAACAGTACAACATAAGAACAAACTATACAAATCAATTGAAAACGGCTTAACTCATTAGATGGATACAAATAAAAATACATCTAACAAAAACACAGAGTGGACGTGGACGGGTACTTATACATCCCAAAAACAAAAAGACACTAAGTACAGATCTGAGCGTTTTTGCAGGATACACAATATCTTAGTGCTTTGGATTTCAAACCAGTAGTTTTAAGAAAAATGTATGTTGTGATTGTTCTCTTATACTTTCTATTTTTATTTTATAGACATTGCTCTAGGGATTTGCATCTACATGGTGTTTCAAATTGGATGTACATAACATATGTCAAGTAATTGTTTTATCCTTTGAAGTCTGAATCTGAAGTCTGCATGTCATAAGAAAAATTCATGAACGATAAATCATCGTGGCAGAGTGCAGTCTTGGAATATACATATATCTCAAATAGATAACAAATTTATATTTCATTTTGCAGAAATACTTAATTATCAATTTCACTTCTATTTATTAATCTGTATTATCGCACAAAGTTTGGAATAAAGTGTAAATTTCAAATTTGCTGTGTGTTAAGGTGGTGCAAAGCAAACACCAACCAATTAATCAAACTTGCTGGTTATATCACTTTTTTACGTTTTGTTTAGATCATCAATTCACCAGATACCACACGACGTAAATTTAAGCTACTGTATGCGACCGCATAGCTTTCAACAATGATCAATACATATACCGTATAGTAAGCTATTCCTGATTTGGGACAGACATATACAGAATTTGGCGGTGGTAAACATATAAGCAAGCGTCCAATCTTCTCCCTAACCTAGGACAGAGGTGCAACGACACAAAATAAGATCGAACTGTTAAAATCAGTTGAACGGAGTGTAGTGTGTTGTTCATTTCGCTGAACTAGCATACATTATTGTTTTGGAGCCAGCTGAAGGCCACCTCTGTGTGTGAAATTTTCTCGCTTCGTTGAAAATCAATTGGTGACCTTAGGCTGTTTTCTGCTTTTTAGTCTGGTTGTTGTCTCTTTTACGCATACTCCGTTTCCATTCTCTATTCTATTCATTAATCAGATCAACACAAGTACAAAAATAGCGTATAAAATTACAAGACACTAAGTACCGATTGAAAAATACTCGCAGCTACTGAAAGCTAGTTTCAAATCTAGTACAACTTAAACATAAATCACATTTCTGAGACATAACCCATAGATTTGCTGTAAAGACGTTATAAACAGTCTGAGAAAAACATGGCCTTTTGCAGTTCTCTGTCGAGAATATACTAGAATGGAAAGTTAGTGCGGGAGTATGAAATGATATTCGAATATACATCTTAACTGTGTACTAGACCTATTATTATTCAACCTTTTCGTAGATCATTTTGACACTCTAACTTTCTATGTGTATAACTTACTTTGGCCCAAAGTCAACGTGGTTCACGACATAACCTGCTCTGCAAAATCCGTTTATCATGACGGCTAGTGATAAAAATGCAATAGCAAGGGATCTGTGCTCACATGAAGTAAATCCCGTAGCGACCAAGAATATGCCAGATCCCGAAAAAGCTAAGTTTAAGAAAAATATATATATTTCAAGAATTAAGTAAATATTATCCGTGCCATTGGTGTAAGTTTATTTGAATAACAATAAGATATTTTACAATGTCAGCATATGTATACATGGTGTACAGTATAATCAAATATACTAATTTTACAAATTAATGTTGATTTCAAAGTTTGCGGGTAAAATCCGATATAAACCGGAGGAGTATTGCAACATTTGTAATAACATCCTGGTTTTTAATTGCTATTTTCAATATGATACGTGCATTAATAAATGACTTTATTGTTTGAATAGACCCATTCAGTGTTTATCATCATAGGACGTACGTATTTGACAAGGACGTCATAATTACAGACGGACCTTTTGAAAGAATACAAATATATATTCGTAGACCAGGCCATGATCGAAAGGATATATCAAGATTATTTATTCATATTCACCCAGTACACACTTTTTTGTCATTTAACCGACACGAGGGTTATATTTTGAGAAATTGTAAGTTTCATATACATTGTAGTATGATTTATATTGTTCTACATTGAAAATAGAGGCAAAAGATACCAATTGGACATTCAAGCTCATAAGTCAAAAATAAATTGACAACGCCATGGCTAAAAAAAGAAAAAGAAAAAAACACAAACAACAGTATACAAAACACAAAATAGAAAACTAAAGACTGAGCAACACAAACCCTACCAAAAACTGGGGATGAATTAATATGCAATCAACACGGTAATTAAAAAGTCACCTTAAATAGTACATTAGTGTCTGGTTATTTGTTTGTAGTTGTGTTTCTCCCAATACTATGTGTTTCATTGTATGCATAACGTTTGGTTCTAACAACAATGTGGAATAATCCAAATAAACGGGAAGAACTCTGATGAGTATTTTTTTACAAACTTATTGACAGCTTCACAGTCATGTTTAAAAATTTGCCTGTTCATTTTGTTCAGTATTTGAATAAGAAAATAGCATGTTAGGCAGGAATGTGTTAAACAAATCTGAGCTATGCAAAATGAAGAATATATTAATTTCAAAATAAATTTGTCACACCTTGTAAGCAATGGCAATAACAATTTAAAGAGAGCAAAGCATCCTAGCACAAACGTCACCCTAGTCTGTTTATTGTCAATTTACCAATGATCTGAAGTAGTCGTCGTGTTGCAGTGGTTGATAGAACACCTTTACTACGTAAAACATCCGCTATCTGTCCTGAACTAAATCCTGACACAGCCTGGCAAATGTATGGCAAAGCACTAAGCAAACCATTCTGAAATAATGATACGAGTGGATAAACAAGCTGTATACGCCTTTTCTTTGCTGTGTAAAGAAAACCAATTTTAAATTTCTCTCTTTGGACGATAAGAAAAACATGGAAAAGGATTGTATTCATTTGAGTTTTGTATAAATCATACAAATGAAGTTTATTACAAAATCATGTCAATGTTTACCCGTCGCACATCCAAAATCGTTAAAAAGTAGTTACTTATCTTTATCAAATTGAATAGCACTAGCATTGAATTGGCTTATGTTTTAATTGACCGTGAGATCAGCTAGTAATCAATATTTCTATTCTAACATTAAAAAAAATAAACCTTAGTTGGTTCTGCAAATACCAGATCATAATGTTTTGACCCGACTTTTTTTCAAGTTTGATACAAAGCTTTCACGGCAAAAATCGAAAGATTTCGGATTAAGACAACACGAAGCTGAAGCCCGCCTTCGGATACGGGATTTTCTCGCTCCGTTAAAGACACATTGACTCCTTTGGTTCTTAGGGTTGTTGTCTCTTTGACACATTCCACGTTTTCATTCTCCGTTCTACTTAATGGGTTCTTCAAGAAATGTATTCAGGAATCCCATGGACAGCTGTACAACTGTTAGATTGAAGTCTAAATTAAAAATGATCGAATTGTTTCATGCTTTATCAATATACAGTTTATATGGAACTATCTTCATTAATATGATAAAAACACGGGTCATTGAGCTGTTTGCAAGCAACATGTTGTGCAAAATAGTAATATTGTGTAAAAAAATATACCTGGAATATGCACTTTCATGTGAATAGAAAGAAAACTAAATGACAGAATTGTACTAAAAACAATACTAGAAGGCAATTCTTATGAAATGATGACAGAAAATAAAAAGGAAAATAGGATCATAGTTCCCGTTTTCTTGCTACAAACAAACTATGTATATTTTACATACATGCCTTCAAAAAAACAAATTGTCTGAAATATTTCGGCTGATATGATAAAGTTTTATAATTCTGAATCGAAGGAAGCATACTTTGGGAGAGTAAAAATAGATGTAATCATAAGATCAAATTTTCTAGTTTGAGTAAACATCAAGACCAACAATTTGCACAGATATTGCTGTGCTTATTCAAAAGGCCTTGTCCTTTCACAATGCGAATTGCCAGAAAGGTTTTACCCAAATGCAGTTTGAAACACCTCAAATACTCACACTTTTGATATTAAACTTGTGAACTGCTTTCAAAAATGCCGGCAAACTTGTTAACAATGTGTAGTTTGTCCAGTTGTTACATATATGAGCAGTGGTACAGGCAAGCAGTGCTGGTGATTTTGCCATTTCTAACCATGGTACTTTGCCTGTCTAGAAAAAAATATCTGTCTTATAAACAAATCATGCGTCAGCAGTGTTTAAGATTTGGATAAGCTACGTGACTTTGCAGATCAGTTTGAACACGTTGACAGTTATGTATAATTTCAATACTGTGATGATTTATTAAAACGTACTCTTAACAAAGAAAATTTACCTAAAATGGTATTTTGATTTATCTGTGTATAATAACCATATCTGTTAAGTTTTCTTTTTAGCTTGTAGATAAAGCTTATTCAAAACTAAGATTCCAACTCCCTAAGTCAAAGTTGACTAAATGGTTTTGGTTTTTCCTTTTATTAGTGCGGTGACGGAATAAAAAATAGTCGAATATTAAAAGAGTTTAATTTCACTTCATATTACACGGCTTAAAATTTGCACATTCCTAGAAAAATGGTTTCTACTTGAATTTAAGACTGGTCGTCAAAAAGTCGTACTGTGCATTTTTTTTTTTTTTTTTTGTATTATTATTGTATCGTTTAGCTAGCAAATTTGACTTCAAATGCAGATCTTTAGTGGCATGCAGTTTGACTTTATATCCAAAGGCTGCACTCAAATACATATTATTTTTAATTTTATTCACACATCACACATATTAATGCTTTATTCATTAGGTTTTCTGTTTTAGTCATATAACTCATATAACTTACGATGTAGTAATATATTCCTGTCAACGATTTTTTGGGGATTAGATCGTTCCTTATACAGTGAAACCTGATTAAACCGAACCATGAATAAACCGGAAACCTGTCTAATCCAAACTTGTTCTGAAGACCAATCATATTACATTTTATGCATTGTGAACCTGATGAAACCGAATACCTGCCAAAACCGAACAAAATCTCAAGTCCCGAAAGAGTTCGGTTTAGTCAGGTTTTACTGTAAATGTAAATGTTAAACGCTCCGAACGTATAAAACTTCTAAAGTGTTATTCTTCGTTTACCACTAATCGGGACTAACTGTGTCGTTCTTATCGATATTTGTTACTTAACAGTTATGGATCACACTTGATGGCTTAACTCAATAAAGGCAAAAAAGAAGGGTGAATAAGTATAAGTAAAGCTATAAAAGGCCCCGTTCTGACTGTTTAAGTGGGTCGAAGTCGCTGTACCGTTCATATTGACTCTATGATTGTATCATGTTATAAAAAGGCAATATGTTATACTAATTTGTTTTGCACCTAAAACGCGATATGTTGATATGATCATGATCATTAGGCTTACAAATTCATTAAATGACAAAATAAACACGACACCGTACTTATTTTAACACAAAAATTGAATTCTATGCGACTGTCATACATGTGAGAGGTTTATCTAACTATAAAATCAGATTTAATTCACCATGTTGTACATAAGGAAATGACTGCATGAAGTCAGGAATGTGCCAGTTGTTTTCATTTCGTTTGATGTGTTTGAGCTTTTGATTTTGCCATTTGATAAGGGACTTTCCGTTTTGAATTTTCCTTGGAGTTTGGTATTTTTGTTATTTCACTGTTTCGTCATTATTAAACTCCCATGTTATGATTTATTAACAATGATAAACTTTGTCAGAAATAAGAAAAACAACTTCACCCTTTTTGAAGTGTCATATTCTATGGCATTGTTAATGTAATCTCTCTCGACCTCACTGATCCAAGGATGTTCCGAAGGGGTGTCACGTACCACCACAAACCATATAACTACCCAAATGGCAGTAAGACCGCCTACAGGAAAAAAACAAGAATGATATTAGACATAGGCTAGTCCCTTCAGTACATAACAGGAAGGAGATAGCAAACAAGATGTCTTAAATAACGAAAGATATTCCTAATTCCAAGAAAACCCAAACGATTCACTATAAATTCTAATTTGCACATTAACTATCTGAAGTTAAATGCTCTTGAGCCGAAATTTTAAATGATGATTTCGAAGTGTTTCTTCCGCTAGAATATTACCCAATAAAATTGTATGAAGGCAAAAACGTATTAACATGATAATTTCTTCTCCAACAATTATGAGATATCTCATCTGTATCAAATCAATATCACAAACTATTAAGAACTTTGCCATTCAGAATCTTTTTCATTCAATGGAAGTGTATCTTATGATTTACCTGTTATGTAGAATATAGATCCCCATCCGTTGTCAAAACCATATTCACATAAATACCCGGATGATCCAAATGTGGCTACATTTCCGAACATTGTACCTTAATAGGCAAAACAGAAGGTAAGATTTATTGACAAAAATGCTCATCTTTTTAAATAGACACAACATATGTTATACATGACAGTCAAAAATGTATGACATATTTTTATCTTAATATTTGTTATAAATATATTGAGATCATATAAAAATTATATTTCCTTAAATATCTTATACATATGTGAACGATTCAGGAAAACTTTTTTGCGTTATTAATACGAATTTTGTGTACGCTGGTGTCTGTTCTTCGACGTTGAGGAGTCTTTTCTTTATGATACAAATAAAAATGAAGATAACTAGACTTCTTTTCAAAATGACGAATAACTTAAAAATTACTGTACGTTACCTAGAAACGATACACTGATTAGTTTGCTGCGTTCTAGGGGAGGAGCCCAGCGTCCCCACATCGACTGCACACACGGGAATGATACGCCCTGTCACAAATACAATATTACAGAATATATAATTAGCTCCTGTGAGCAAATATTTCTATGATAGATTGTTATTTGACAACAAAAACTATAAATTTGAAGAACAGAAGTAAAAATAATAGTCAATCCATTTAGAAAACATCACAGTCTCAGTATATTCCTCCAAGTGCTCTCCATTTCAATATGGGCGTAAATATAACCAGATAACTTGGTAAATTATATTTATTCAATGTATGACATTGAGGAATGTTGCAAGTCCATATCAAAGAAGATGGCATTATAGGAAGAACACTTCTTTGCACTAGTTTGTATGTTGGGTTATTTGAATTTATTCATACAAGATCGCGTTATGCAGTCTTTTAGTTCTATTGCGCTAGTTAGTACTAGTATGCTAATGTGTATTAAATGTATCCCTCTGGAAAATGATAGGTTCCTTCTGACGTAAATGATGAACTATATCGCCTGCGCAAGGTGTATATCGGCTAGAAGAGAAATTGATATGGAGTCTGTTGGAATGGGTATTGTGCATTTCTACACCTCAGAGGTCTTTTCATTCAAACATTGATGCACCAATACTTTTGACGATAAAAAGGAATTCAAGCACGACCACGATAGTGAATCGGAAGATATCTAAAAAGTATCTGTGATATGCAAGGATTATAACTTCGGTATATTGGGAAAGCATGTAATCACCGGAGCACTTGATATTACTCTCTGTTTTGAAAGGGTTTGCGTTGCTCGTTCTCTAGTTTTTCATTGTTGTGTAATGTGTACTGTTATTTGTCTTTTCGTCGTTTTTCGTTTTTTGCCATGGCATGGTCAGTTTGTTTTCGAGTTTGAATATCCCTTTGGTATCTTTCGCCTCTCTTATAAATGTGCACAAAATTATTTAAGGTGCTCTAAAAATCCCTCTATTGCGATCTTCAGAAAGTCTTAATTTATTTTCGTTTATTCTCGTTGAGATGTTTCTTTTCAATTGTCAGGAAACTGAAAACAGGTGTAGGTGCGCACTGAGATTATCAAGGAAAAATGTGCACTGCTATATACGTGCTAAACAGATCAATTATATCGAAATAACGGGACACACTAATTTCAGCTACTTATGAAGTATATATCTTAAATTTTACAAGGTTTACTTGAAAGGTCTTGATAAAAAGGATGACCACTTGTTTTCCAACACTAGAACTATAAAAGCTGTTAAAAACAAATGAGCGAGGGACATTAAGTAAGAAAATGGAACATATATCCACATTGTACGCTAGCTTATATTTAGGGTTTTCAGTAAAAAAATAGAACATGTTCCAACATTGTACGCTAGCTTATATTTAGGGTTTTTTTCTGGTTCCCAGAGAGATTGGCCTCGATCTTTTTTGAGTGTATCAAAAAGACCGGCTCCTGAAGTGGTCCAAGTTTGGAGATCAGGTGTTCTTCCATTAAATTTGTAGTTTGTCTTTAACCTTGATCAAACAAACAAAATGTAATTGTAAACTAAACATGGGTCATGATATGGACCGATCATATATGAAACGTCTGCAAGATAGAACAGAATATAATAATATAGGATATGTTGAATCAATACATGACAAGAAATCATTTTTGGCATATGAAAAACGAAGTATATAGGACCGACTTGCTGTGCATCCTCTGAAAGTCACAGTGAGGGCTGACGACAGCCATTTTAAATCGTTGATTGATGCAGTCCAAAATATGTTCAGTTTTAGTCTATACTGCTGCTATCTTCTTTTTCAGAAGATGGGAATATGGACATTTGTTATCCATTAGTTTAATGTGTTTGAGCTTTTTATTTTGCCAATTGATTAGGGATTTTCCGTTTTGAATTTTCCTCGTAATTCGGTTTTTTTTTTTATTGTTTACTTTTTTCTATGATATGCATATAATTTACACTAATGAACTTACTGTAGCTAATCCAAGAATAACACGCAATACATAAACAGAAACTACTGAATTCCTAGCACATACGGGTATCAACAAGGTACTGATGGAAGAAATTGCCATGGCAATCCCAAACACATATCTGCCACCAAATCTGTCTGACAACCAACCTCCAGGAATCTGAGTAATTATGTAACCATAGAAAAAAGATGCCAATATTGATGACGTAACTTCCTTGTTCCAATCAAATTCAGCGTGCTATAAATAGAATACAAAAATCCTTGTACATATGATTTACATCTTGCATTTTAGATTGAAATATTTTAGGAAAGTGTGTCATAAATGTACTACATTATGAGTTGAGGATGTTCGCTATTCTTGCTTTTGATTTTTTGTCAGATATTCCTCTATGGAATCCTCTATACATGTATTTATCCATGTAGTTACAATAAAAATCATGCCATCTGACCCCTACTTTTCTATTTATATTTTATTACATATATATATAAAAGAAGATGTGGTATGATTGCCAATGAGACAACTCTCCACAAGAGACCAAATGACACAGAAATTAACAACTATATGTCACCGTACGGCCTTCAACAATGAGCAAAGCCCATACCGCACAGTCAGCTATAAAAGGCCCCGAAATGACTTCCTAATTTCCGTGGCACGTAGTGTAACGGGAATTAATTGTCTTCTCACGTAGTAGTTCGAAGGCGTATGAATTTTTTGGGCGGGAAAATTATTGTGTTTAATAATAGGTGTATATATGGTCATTTCTAGCCCTGCCTTACTTGAGTGAACATCAAATTTTTCTGAGTGCCATGATGGATCCGGACATCGAGAATAGTGTTAAGCGGATTGTCGGGGAAGAAATTCGAAAATCACAGAACGATTTATTGTCACAAATGGAAGGGGTGTTTTCAATAAAACTACAGGAATTCGATCATCAACAGAAGGAGAGTTCAGAGCTACAAATGAATAGATTACAAAATGAACTTTCGGTGAAGGATGACTACAAGTTTCAAAGAAAGTCTTGTGAAGACCAATTCAAATTCAACCACAAGCTTAGCGTAACTTTGAAGGAAGCCGATGCTAGTCTGGAGTCCAGGGACCCAAGTGCCGGTTTAGCCAAGCAGAAAATAGCAGAAGGTATACAACTTATACGCTACAGACAGAAGTTGGTTAAAATGGCCGATTCGTCCGAGATGGGATGGAAAGTGGTACAGGAATATACTGTGAATCCCCTCGCAGATGATTCCGAGGACGATCCGAAAATTCTGAGAGCGCAGACACGAGCGGAGAGAAAAACAAAACCAGAGAAAGCTAAGAAGAAAAGACCAACGCCGTATAGCAGGCCAACTTCAACTGCAACTTCTAGTGGTAACGACACAAATGGAAAAGCAAGTGGGAGGCCCGGAGTTTGCTACAACTGCTACAAGCCTGGTCACTTGAAATTTGAATGTCCAGAGAAAAAACGAAAGTTAAGTACTAATTTATTTAATATTAATAAATTAAGTAGCATTTGCTCAGATTTACTGCATGATAATTGTTTTCAGGTGAATACGAATCACCTAACTGATAAGTCTTTAAAAGATGTCATGAATGATGATAGTATTTGTTTACTCGAGCATGAATGTATCGAACAGGTGTCTAGACAGGTAACTTCAAGTTTAATCACACCTGTAGGTAAATTGAAAAAATCAATACACAAATGGAGAGATATAGACACAAGCACGTATATTTTAAGAGTTATAGAAAAGGGTTACGGTATTCCGTTTAAAGTACTACCAGATAATGTTATATTGAGAAATAATAAATCCGCTAGGGATAACGGGGAATTCGTTATTGGCGACATTTTAAAATTGACAGAAAAAGGTTGCATTTCAGAAGTTAACGATATACCTTTTGTGGTTAATCCTTTAACGGTAGCTTTTAGTAGATCAAAGAAGCCCTGTTTAGTTTTGGATTTTAGGCATATCAACGAATGTATACACCAGTTTAGGTTTAAATTTGAAGACGGTGCAGTTGCAAGAGAATTGTTTGAAAAAGGAATTTTTTGGTTTAGATATGACCTTTAGAGTGCATATCACCATCTGGAAATATTAGAGGAACATAGAACTTATTTAGGTTTCAGTTGGGATTTCAATGGTATAACAAAGTACTTTGTATTTAATGTTCTTCCTTTTGGTCTGGCCAGTGCAGGTCATATTTTTACCAAAGTTCTTAAGGAAGTGATAAAATACTGGAGAAATCAGGGTTTGAAGATAATAATGTATCTTGATGATGGGCTTGGAGGTGCAAATGATTTTCAATCAGCTGAAAGAACTAGCTCGTATATAAGATCTAGTTTGTCTGAATTTGGTATTTTAATAGCTGACGAAAAATGTGTTTGGTATCCACAGCAAAATATGACCTGGATAGGTTTAGTTTGGGATATGGAGTTCGGGAAACTTAGAGTTTCCAGTGAACGTATAGAAAGATTAGTTGATGTTATCAGTAAAATACTTTTCGGTGTCGGAAAAGATAAAATTTTGAACAGTGCAAAGTTTGTTGCCGGAATTGTTGGCCAGAATATATCAATGCAATCTGTTTTAGGTAATTTGGTTAGACTTAGAACTAGAGAATTGTATAACTGTATACTGTTAAGGGCAAGTTGGAAGTCACTTGTTGCTCTAACAGCTCCAGCTGTTGAGGAGCTCAGATACTGGTTAAATTCAGTAACGCAGTTAAATGAGAAAGGTAATGATCTGCATGAGTCAGATGTATGTGATTTATTGGCGTTCACTGATGCCTCAGAAGTAGGTTTTGGGGGCTATATTGTGCCCGTAGTTGATAGCATATGTGCTGAGTCGGTCTGTGACTCGTTAGAAATTCTGACTGACTGTGGTCTAGAATTACCAGGTAACAGTTTGAATACTGTTACAGTAGTAGGTAGTTGGACAGTATTGGAAAGTGGTAAAAGTTCAACGTGGCGTGAGCTTGAAGCAGTTAGGAGAACAGTGAAAAGTTCGTTAAGATGTTTAGAAAACCATTGTTTAAAATTGAATACAGATAATAAGAATGTAACTAGTATAGTTAAAAATGGTAGCAAAAAATCGGAACTTCAAAATATTGCTTGTGAGCTAAATTATTTATGTTCAGAGAACAATATAAAAATTAAACCACATTGGATTCCAAGAGAACAAAATAAAATTGCTGATGGTCTGAGTAGATATTCAGATTGCGACGACTGGGGTATTGAAGAATCTGTATTTCAAATGTTAGATAGGTTATGGGGTAGACATACAATAGACAGATTTGCTACAGATTACAACGCTAAATGTTCGAGATTTAATTTTAAGTGCTGGTGTAAGAATACAGAAGCAATAGATGCGTTCTCACAAAACTGGTTTAGTGAAAACAATTGGTTAGTACCACCACCGAATGTTGTTTGTAAGGTTATAAGAAAACTGTGTAGTGATGAGGCAAATTGTACACTGGTAGTTCCATTGTGGTATTCTTCACCTTATTGGTTGATGTTACATGCTATTTTTGGAAATATGAAACATTTCATAACAGACAAGCATCATATAATGAACATTAGTCCTGTCGTTCCCGGAAGGGGAAATAATGGTGTATTTGGGAAACATATGAAATTTTCCTTAATTGCATTTAAGATCAGATTTGGTTGATTTTATTTTGTATAGGGTTAAAGCTTGGACGGTTTGTAACAGAAGCCGTGGAGGATAGTGGTATCGGAGAGGATCATCCTTTACATGATTTGGTGGATAGTTTTTGGTCGAGACTGCTTGATGCCAGAAGTGACAGTACTGTTAGAAAATATAACTATGCTTTTAAAAAATGGAAAACATTTTCGCATGAACATAATTTGATTTATTTACCAGCATCGCCTATTCATGTTTCTTTATATTTAGTGCATTTGCTTGATTCAGGTGCTACATACAGTACAATCAATAGTGTTTTTTATTCTATAAAATGGGCTCATGACATGTCAGGTCAGTTAGATCCTACAGAGAATGCTATTGTAAAAAATATAGTTGAGTCGGCTAAACGTACTTCTAAAGCTCCAGTTGTAAAGAAAGATCCTGTCTCCAATGATAATTTGATGAGTGTATGTTCTATGTTTCAAGGGTCAAATGATTTAACAGTAGTTAGGGATCTAGCTATGATTTTACTGAGTTATAGCGCTTTTCTTAGATTTAGTGAGTTGAGTAATCTGAAGTATAACGACATTATTTTTAGAGATAACTATTTAATTGTAAAGATTAAAAAGAGCAAAACTGACGAATATAGAGCCGGAGATGAAGTTTTAGTTTCTAAAGGTCTATCAATGGCTTGTCCATTTGACATGTTATTAAAGTATATTGGTATGGCGCATTTAGATATTTGTTAGGACAAGTATTTGTTTCGTCCTTTGTACAAATCTAAGAAAAGGTCTGGTTTAATTCAGGTTAATAAACCGATCAGCTATAGCACAGCTAGTGAATGCATACTGAAGCGTTTGAAATTAGTTGCTCCAGAGTTAAATCTTGGTTTGCACTCTTTGAGGTCTGGTGGTGCCACTGCGGCGGCTAATTCTGACGTTAACGAAAGGTGCTGGAAGCGTCATGGTAGATGGAAAAGCGATTCTAGTAAAGATGGCTATGTGGCTGATTCTATTGAAAACAGATTAAAAGTGTCGAAGCAATTAGGTTTATGATTTATGAATCGCAAGTTTGGTGATAAGAATTACTTTTTGTTTAATTTGAAATTAATTTGTTTATACAGTCTAGCTATCTTTGTTGTTTTCTATACACAAGCAGCAAAGTAGTCGACAAACATACGGTTGTGTTTTATTTGTCTATTAGTAGAAGTGGTGCTATGTTAAGAACATAAGGTATAGAGAAGACTTCCTAATTTCCGTGGCACGTAGTGTAACGGGAATTAATTGTCTTCTCACGTAGTAGTTCGAAGGCGTATGAATTTTTTTGGGCGGGAAAATTATTGTGTTAAATGATAGGTGTATATATGGTCATTTCTAGCCCTGCCTTACTTGAGTGAACATCAAATTTTTTAACATGTACGTTAAGAAACGTTTTTAAAATATTTTTGTTTATAAGTACATGTGCATTAAAGTTAAAACTTTTTGTTATATATAGGTGATATGGCTATACAAACGTAATCGGATTTGTTTATTCAGACTCTTTTCTGTCTTCAAATTATTTTCATATAGCCGCAGTCTTTTGACTGATAGCAGATTTTTTGCATTTAAATGTTTTCTTTAATGTTTTTTTGAACATTCTTATATCAAGTGCGGTCCAACACTTGGGGGTTTCGCTTGGCATTGACAAAAGGACACAGGTTTCTAAAAGTAGTTTTTCCTGGTCGGTCACGAAACAATTAGATATAAGTAGAAGATATTAGAAGTCATTATGATTGCCACAATTTTTAATGTGTATTGATGTGACATGTTTGTACATATTTATTGAATAAAATCGGCAGCTCAGAATATACACAAGCAGCAAGCTAGTCGACAAACATACGTTTGTGTTTTAGTTGTCTATTGGTAGAAGTGGTGCTATGTTAAGAACATAAGGTATAGAGAAGACAATGTAAAACAATTCAAACGAGAAAACTAACGGCCTAAATGAACGAAAAACAAATATGTAACACATAAACAAACGACAACCACTGAATTACAGGCTCCTGACTTGGGACAGGCACATACATACAGAATGTTTCGGGGTTAAACATGTTAGCGCGATCCTGTATTTTCATTTTTTACTGTTTTTGAAAGAAGGAGGTACTAATGTACTAATGTTAAATATATGAAAAATCTAGAGAATAATTTCCCGACAATTTTCGATAGATTATGTCTTAAAAAAAACAAGGACACAGACCTTTCAATGTTTTCATATACTATCAATTTATAGCAGTCTTTAAAGGGCTTTTTACTTCGAAACAGGAGCTAACATCCTTAAAAACGGTTAAAACGGTTAAAACGGTTAAACATAAATTTGTACGTATATATTATCCCTAGTTATTATTAAAATACGTTTGAAAACAAAATTAAAAAAACACAATTTCTTTGGTTTTCAATAAAACATTCGACAATTAGAAATATGTGTCTTTCAAAGATATTGGTTATATGTACGTAACGCTTCTCCTATCGGTAAAGGCATTTGTTTGAATTGTTTTACACTAGTAATTTTGGTGCCCTTTATAGCTTGCTGTTCGGTGTGATCCAAGGCTCCGTGTTGAAGGACGTACTTTGACTTATAATTGTTTACTTTTTATACATTGTGACTTGGATGGAGAGTTGTCTCATTGGCACTCATACCAAATCTTCTTATTTCTATCTGTCTCTGTTTAAGCTCATTTTAATTTCAACATGCAACATATTGGTGAATGATGTTATGATTTTGATCTAAAGTTATCCCAAATGTCTGAATAAGACCGATTCCATCCACTTGATTCTGGAATGAAAAACATCTGTACGTTTGAGACCTAAAGTTTAAGACGAGAAAGTTTTTTTTTATCTTGAATCTTCGTCTTTTGAACTCTGATGGATAGTTGTCTCATTGGCAATCATACCCAATCTTCATATTTTATACGGGATGATGAAAGGGTCTTGAAGAAAAAAATCTGCCAAAGGTAACCTTAACTTCCCTAGGGGAGGTGTAATATTTTTTTTTTATTCTATTGATGATTAATTAAAAGAAAAACACCGAAGCAAAAATGCCTCACCACTCTTTGAACAGTTTTCTCTTGGACGCCACTGATGAGTCTTATGTACGGTTTTTAGACCTATATAGGACATGAACAATGCGTGGTATGTGCTGCCAACACCTACCCCCTTTTTACATTCCGTATTCCATAGGTAAAAAGAAGATGTGGTATGATTGCCAATGAGAAAACTCTCTACCAGAGATCAAATGACACAGAAATTGACAGCTATAGATCACCATACGGCCTTCAACAATGAGCAAAGCCCATAGCGCATAGTCAGCTATAAAGGCCCCGAAATCACAAATGTAAAACAACTCAAACGAGAAGACTATCGGCCTAATTAATGCACAAAAAATGAACGAAAAACAAATATGAAACACAGCAACAAACGACAACCACATAGTTTATTTACCACTATATAGGCATGATTGAAATCATGAAAACGTTTTTACTATTTTTCCAGTAGGCAAATTGAATGACTATCAGTCCCCGAAGGTATCGTTAGCTCAGTTGTCAATACTTCAGTACTGACAAGATGTTTAACAAGCTTTTTTTTATCAAACCGACCGTTTATAAATTAAGAAATTATTCAGAAACTTAGGTTTCAACTCCACCAGGCAAAACTAACCTTCGATTGATTTGGATATTATATTAGGTACATTTTCGTTATATAACTCTTCAACTTTTTCAGGAAGGTATATCCAGAAAAACGCTTTAGACGCATAACATTTATATTTAGTGTTATTTTCATTTTTTAAAGAGTGTCAAATATATATACCTCATTAAAAACTTGTCTTGAAGAAGCGGTACCGGTACATATACTAGATGACGAATTGTCAAATGTATCAGTTGTTGTAATATTTGGTGTCTTAACCATACACACAATAGCCACACTAATATTCACACGTAATGAATACACAAAGAAAAAACCAACAAAACTAGTATACGCCAAAATCCAGCGCTGTGAACAACAACATGGAACATCTGAAAGGAAATTGAGTTGTATATAGGCAGATAGAATATGACTATGTATAAATATATACTAACCATTTATAAAAATCTAGCGTATATAAATTTGAATGACTGCCTATCTTAAGTGTTACTAGAACACTCCCGCGACATCGCGGTTCCATGACTGAATTAAAGTACCTACGCCTTATTTTTAGCCTGGATTTTTGGTATTCGTATTGTCATCTGATAACGTCATGATGATTATAATGTCCCATTTTTCTCTGCCTTCAAAATCTTTCTGTTTGAACCCGTCTCGAATTTCTTACTACTCTAAATGCTCACATTAAATCTGTACAGATACCGTGTGTTAAATGTCTTCCTTAACACTATTATCTATCTTAATGCTCCTAATAAAGGAGGAAGATATAGAACAAACATACATACTACCATCGGAAACTACATGTGACATATACTATAGACCTTTTTAATATTACCGACTTTTGACTCCGGAGTTTATATTTTTTCGACAGGTTACCTTCTCTGTGGTAAAACATCCTGGTACTCGGGTACTAAGAGCAACGTAAAAAAGTAAAATCAAGCTTTTAATCGATACAATTCATGGAGGAAATTAACTGCTTTGTATTTTCTTAACACGATAAAATCATCAGAAAACAGAAAACTTTCCCTTCAAATTGTACGAATTATGTGTATGATTTTTATTCTTTTGGTTGCTCTTACTTGACCGAGTACCATGATGTCTACCCAGAGAAAAGGTAACCTGTCGAAAAATTATATAATCCGGAGTCAAAAGTCGGTAATATGAAAACAGTCTATTGATATCGGTAACGGATTCGACCCGGAACTTGCTAATTAATTATTGGTAATATTGATCATGTGAAAAACAAAAGAACCTATATTAGTTACATATAATAAAGTTGAATTCTTTGATTCGTCGTTTTAACGTCATACCGGCCAACAAATTAGACCTCGTTATTTTAGTAATATAGCTATAATATATGCCTTGGATTAGCTGAAAACTAGGTTTCCATCTAGCGACCATGCAGTGATTGAATGAATAGGTTAATGTATGCGTGATTGGTAGCAGGTATACTGGCAACCCTTTATAATAACACTCAATCATAGGGTCTATGCTATGTTGCATGTCTGCATTTAGTTAAAACCGATAATGTTTCTGAGATCGTTGTTCATTCATCAAACGACCGGAAAAGCTTTTTTTAATAGACCAATTTCATGAACTTGGAAGTTTTATACTTGATTGAAGTGTACATTTTTCAGGTGGCTATTCGCGTGTTTGAGGTTATTTCTCACAGTATTTGAATTGCTGCAAACATTTACAACAGAGACGTAGATTTCACAAATATGAAGGTATTGTAGCTGCACAAATTGTAACACTTATTCACTACTAACATTTATAGCAATACTATTTGAACGGCTAATAATTCCAGACATTTTCCTTTTTAAAAATCTTTACTTTTCATAGTTTAAATATATCTATTGATAAAGAGAATACTAACACTGTTATTAAACAATCATTGCGTCCGGTATTCTTTTTATTGATAACTGGGCATTGAACAAGATCGTGACTATTTATACATTTAATGATGCTGTTGTATGAAATCTACTCGGATATACAGTCACTGATATTATAACGAAGGACAACATGCTTTCAAATCAAGTATACTTTCAGAGTCAGATGCTAACACGAATGATACCTTTTATGATATTTTTATGTTTTATATAATAAATGCGTCTTATTTAAGGTTAAATAATATACAATTACTGTCTTTCGATGAGGTAAATGTGTCGTTTTATTGACTTTTGAAAAACTGATATTCACTGAGGCCAACGGCCGAAGTGAATGTCACTAGGTTTTTCAAAAGTCAATTAAACCACATATTTACCGAAACAAAAGACAGTAATTGTTTTATTCCATGTTCCGAGCGAGAAAAATATGTATAAAATAACAGTTACTTACCAAAACCAACTAGACGTCAAACATTGTATCGTTATTATACACGTAAAAGCACGCGACGTTTTGCGCGGTGAATATACTTTTTCCGCAGGTGAATGTGCTTATTTATTCAAAATCCCATTCATATAGAAAAACCTACTAAAGTTCTATCAATATGGAATAACAACTTTTATTCCACGTTCTCTCTTTAGTTTTCTTCTTATTATTTAGCTTATCTTATTAATAGTTGCTCCTTTTATCAACGCCGTTGATTTTCTCGGTCCATGGATAATATTTAATTTGGAAAATTTAATTAAGAAATGACTGTAATATTTTTTCTGTCTATGAAGAAATAACATCAAAAATGTGGTGCACACTGAATAACCCGCGTAGCGGGTTATTTTAAGTGTGCACAACATTTTTATGTTATTTCGAATAGACAGAAAAAATTTACAGTCGTTTCTTATAATTTAATTCTAAAATCCATTTTAAACCGGAGTAAATCATGAAAAAACGTCGATGACGTCACGGTCACATGACAAAATTATGTCTATGAGCTGATAAACAAAACAACGTCAGCCAATCAGAAGACGCGTTACATCCAAAATTAAATTATTGAAAAATAATGTTGATAAACACACAAACATGTAGCTGTTTACTGACGCCATTCCATGAATGAAGGTAGTTAATATCTAATGACATATACTGTCCCAGGTAATTAATAATATTAACACTCATTGTTCTGCTAATGAATAATAAATTCAGAGAAAACGAGAGAGGAGTAAACTAGAAATGAAAATTGCAATTGGAACACAATGCTGGCCGCGCCTATATATTTTGATCTAACAAGGTTACTAGTCTTACACTGCGTTTAAAAATGTCATTAAAAGTTGTTCAATTTTCCTTAAAGATTATCATTACAAATGCTTACTCTAAGTTATATGCACGTACAGTCAGTTTAAACGAGCTCTGCATAACCGAAAATGATTGATTGATTGATGTTTAACGCCACTTTCAGCACTATTTGCTATTTCGTGGAGGTCCTTTTTGTTTAGTGGAGGAAGTCGGAGTGCCCGAAGAGAACCAACGAACTTAGACAGGAAATGATTGACAGTTGTTTCAAAGAGCTACATACAGGTATAAAATCAATTTCGATAACAGATTTTTCAATAAATTATCGCAGTTAGTATAAACTTATTCAAAACGATCGGGGATATAAAATCGAATAATTCAATCATACGCGTTGATCTGCCTTTATAGATAATAAACATGGAATGGTATTTTTAAACGGTATGTAACTTTTACTTTTACCTAATAAAATAAATGGCAGAACACAATTATGCTTAACCTATCAACGCACCTATTAAACTTCGTTTAAATTCATGTTACTTTTTGACTTACCTTTGGAAGAACTCATAACAATCTGCTTTAATGTATGGTGGCGATGCATACACTTACACACATGTGCGGGAAAGTTTTAAAGGTGCAAAATAACGTAAATACATATTAACATACATAAAAAAAATAATACATGTACGTCAAGTGACCTTACACGGTTTATAAACATTCTCCCGAAAGGCAAATTCATGTTATTAATTATGTGTCTCGTCAAAGTTTTATCAAAAGTAAATGCAAACTATGAAAATTTATCTTTTTCAGAATGTTAACACGTACACGTACTACATGTTTGTACTTGCGGTAAATTTTGTTGATATTTTCTGAGAAATAGACTCAGCACGGAATACTGAAAATATATAACAAAACGAGGAATGCAAAGTTAGGACACTGACCGTAAAATACTTAAATCTAATTAAATAGTTATATAAAGGAGATACTGCGATTAGACTTGCAGAAATGAGATTTATCGTGGAAGACCAAGAAAATTAAGTTGAAAAAAATGAGACTGAATATTGAACACCAAGAAAATGAAAAAACGACACTTTATTTATCACATGAGACTGAGACTTATTGCGTTGATTCCTGGAGTTTAAGAAGTTAAAACTAACGATTAAAAATAAACTATGACAGACTGACTGACAAGAATGAGACTGTTGGTTATTGTGAAAATGAGACTGATCTGGTAATACTGGGAACATAAGACTGGTTGTGTAATGCTGGGGAAATGAGCCGGGTCGTGGAACACAAAGAAAATGAGACTGATCGTAAAACAATGAGAAAATGTGACCAATCGTGGAAAATCCGAGAAAATGAGACTATTATTCGCACACTGAGAAAATGAAACTGATCGTGGAATACTGAGAAAATGAGACTAATCGTCAAACAGAGAAAATAAAACTGATCGTGGACCATATATAAACTGATACTAATCGTGGAACACTGAAAAAAATAAGTCTGATCGTGGACCACATAGAAAAAGAGACTGATCGTGGACCACATAGAAAATGAGATTAATCGTGAAACACTCAGAAAATGAGACTGGTCGCCAAACACTGAGAAAGTGAGACGGATCACTAAATAATCAGAAATTGAGACCGATTGCGTAAGGCTGAGGAAATAAGACTGATCGTCCTAAACTGAGAAAATGAGACTGATTGTTCAAAACTGAGGAAATGAGACTGATCGCGCAACACTGAAAAAATGAAACTGATTGCGTAACGCGAGAAAAATGAGACTGGTTGTGAAATGCTGCGATTTTTTAACAATGAATGAATGAGACTTATCATTGAACATTGAGAAAATGAGATTGATTGTGTAAAGCCGAGAAAGTGAGACTGATTGTGTAAAGGTGAGAAAATAAGACTTATCATTGAACACTGCCAAATTTCGACTGATTGTGGCGTGCTGAGAAAATGTGACTGATCGTGTATAAGTGAGATAATGTGACTGGTTTTGAAACACTGAGAAAATTTATTTAGACTGATCGTGGAACACGGATAAAAGAGACTTATCTAGGAACACTGAGGATATGAGACTGGTTTCAGAACACGTCAAAAATGAGACATGTCATGAAACACTGAATGAATAAAACTGTTCGTGAATCATTGAGAAAATGACACTGATCGTGGAACACTGAAAGAATGAGACTGAACATTGATGAAATGAAACTGATCGTAGAAAAAGTTAGTTTAAACAATATTTATATTCAAATGAATTGAATTAGACTGGGCAAAATGCCAAGTCTATGCAAGGCCTCTCCAATAAAACTGATTGTGGAACAATGAACAAATGCTTGAGGTGTATACTCTTCTGTATTTTTAAAGTTATTGTGTTCTGTATTTTTAAAGTTATGGTGTATTTATTTTTGAGATAACTTCTCTTATGTGTGCAACATCATTCTCTCAATTTTATACCAGTATATGTACTAACATTTTAATTAGACGCACACCACCTATTTTGGCCCCAATTCCTATCCACGTTAAATTTTTCACTTTCAAACATTTATGTAGCACTGGTGTTAAACTGATCACCGTAACTGCAGTTACGGTGATCCCAACATGGCGGAGCCAAAAACAGGTGAAATCGTCTTTTTGTAATTTCTCCGTGTACACGCATTGTTTGAAAGAATTACTCAGCCGCTAGGTTGATATGTACGGTATTGTTGTATGTGTGTTTTCTTAATATCATATGTGACCTTGTTACCGAAATAATAGCCATTGAAAATTTGCGGAAGATCACCGTAACTCCAAAAGAAGATAGTCGTAACTTGTGGACAACTAACTTGAAAGATAGTCGTAATTGTATAAAATATGTCTATGATCATAGTAACTGATTTTGTCAGAACCTTCTGCTAACGGAATTTTTTAATTAAAAAAAGTTGTGTTAAAGATAACAACAAACGCCTAAACAAGATTCGTGATTGAAATATTTTTTCAACATAAGGTAAGTTTGCACATGTGGAGCAGGATCTGCTTAACCTTCCGGAGCACCTGAGATCACTCCCAGTTTTTGGTGGGGTTCGTGTTGCTCAGTCTTTAGTTTTCTATGTTGTTTCTTGTTTACTATTATTTGTCTGTTTGTCTTTTTTCATTTTTAGCCATAGCGTTGTCAGTTTATTTTCGATTTATGAGTTCGACTGTTCCTCTGGTATCTTACGCCCCTCTTCTCTTGCAATTTTTCATGAACATTTTAACAAATATTGGTATACTTATCTATTCGGACAACCAGATGTTAACGATATTAAAAATATAATGCCTCCTTATGTTAAAACTATACTAAAATAAAGTTTCCATTATATATTTATTTAACACTCTTAGTAACTTTATTTTTTTGTAGGTTACATGTATATGTGCTATATGTGTTCGTTTATGTCTAGTGCAGACGCAGTATTGGCGCACACCTTATTTACCCACACCAAAAGAACTGAACAGTTTACGAAAAAAAGTGTTTGAGGAGCGATTAGGACATTTTGCATTTCAGCCACTGCATTTTGCATGGAAAATACAAACTCTTAAAGAATATGTGGATCTACAATGCAAAAAGTAAATTAGTAAATTATTCACTAGTTCTAGCCACACTATCAAACATCCAAACACGATTTATTTGATTTGATTTGATTTTTGGTGTTTTTACGCCACTTTTAAGCACCGCATTGAGGATATTTCGTGGCGGCCAGTTTTTATTGGTGGAGAAAGCCAGAGTGCCCGGAGAAAACCACCGACCTTCGATAGGAAAACTGACAATCCTAGTCAATTAAGATTGGAGTAGAGTGCACCCGCACGAGCGCAAACACGATTTATATGTAGGCGCCTATCAGCATATAGAGAAAGTTACGATCATCACTAACAAGTTACTATGATCATGTCCAAGTTACGACTATCTTATAATCAAGTTACCACTATCATAACAAACAAAATTCTTGGAGTTACGATGATCTTCCGTAAATTTTCAATGGCTATTATTTCGGTAACAAGGTCACATATGATATTAAGAACACACACATACAACAATACCGTCATTATCAACCTAGTGGCTGAGTAATTCTTTATAACTATGCGTGTACACGGAGAAATTACAAAATGACGATTTTACTTGTTTTGGGCTCCGCCATGTTGGGATCACCGTAACTGCAGTTACGGTGATCAGTTTAACACCAGTGTGTAGGGTGAGATCAATATACCATTATTTACACATCAGACCGTACTGGTATAACCGGAACTTTGGATACACCAAACCAGGTACTTTAGTTCTGAGAAACAGACAATATATGCCCTCAAATTTAGAATTCATTCATACATTTTTGTATTCTTCAAAATTATCAGTCAATATTTGTTTTACAAGAATCACCAGTTCTTCACCTTTCATTTGATACCTTAATTACTAAAATATATTCTACATAGTTTGATATTTACACCTATGCGAAGGAACTTTTTTGTTTTAGATATGTACTACTTTCCAGTATGTTCTTTTTTTACCAGGCCCTATTTGGTGGTTTAACATCTTAAAAGTCTATCCGAATCATTTTGCAAAGAATTACGTTCAAACCGATGCTTAATCTTAAACTTGCAGTGATGTGGGAGTTTTTTGGCTCCGTGTTGAAGGCCTCACTGTGACTTTGAGATGAAGAACAGCAATAAAAGCGCTGTACCTTTGCTTTTTACGTGTTTTTGCTGTGCATGTATTGATTTTTGTGTCATGGATGGATACCCCATATTCTTTGTTTTTCTATTAAATGAGACTTATCGTGGAGCACTGATAAAATGACACTAATTTATGGAACACTGAAACAATGAAACTGAACACTGATAATATGAGACTTGTGAAACACTAAGACGAGGATATTGATCGTAGAAAAAGGTTAACAACGTTAACCGAGACTTACTGACGAAGATTGCAGAATTTATTTTACACTTGGGCTATTCCTACTTGATTATATAAAAAAGAAGATGTGGTATGATTGCCAATGAGATAACTCCCCACCATAGACCAAATGACATAGAAGTTAACCACTATAGGTCACCATACGGCCTTTAATAATGAGCGATACCCATACCGCATAGTCAGCTATAAAGGCACCGAAATGACAAAATGTAAACAATTTAAACGAGAAAACTAACGGCCTGATTTATGTAAATACAACAATGAACAAAATACAAATATGATATACAGCAACAACGACAACAACTGAATTACAGGCTCCTGACTTGGGGCAGGCACACAAAGAATGTGGCGGGGTTAAACGTGTTAGCGGGCGCCCAACCCTCCCCTAACCTGGGACAGTGATGTAACTGCAACATATGCACAAACTATAAAAATCAACTGAAAGGGCTTAACTCATCAGATAGATACAAAATATAAAAAAAACAAGTTACAAAAAAAAGTAAAATATCAAGAAAACAGTTTCAAGGAAAATTCAAATCGGAAAGTCTCTTATCAAATGGCTTTCATCAAAACCCCAAGCACATCAAACGAATGGAAAGCAACTGTCATATTCCTGACTTGGTATAGGCATTTCCTTATGTAGTAAAAGGAAAAACACAGACCGGACATGGCAGGGTATTTATAC